TGCTCTCCCCAGAACCCAGCTGGTGTTTGCCCTGGGCGACATTCAGCCAGAATCCAGCGGGGGAGGACGGCCATCTGGGATAGAGTTTTGACAGCTGGGGGCCAGGGCAGTCTCAGAAGGCTTTGACTAGAAAGGCGACACACATGATTGGAGCAGTGTTTTAAGGTGATTTGGCAGTTGGTAGGTGGGTTTTACTGCAAAGAGGTGGAGGTAGGGATACAGATATCACTGCTGTCCCTGGTGCGGGGGGGTCCATTGGCAGAGAAAGGAAAGGAGGCAGGGACTTAAAAGGTGAATGCAGGTCTTGACGGGCGAGACACAGTGAAAGGAGGAGCAGAGGCGGTACACAGCCTTGCAAAACACGTGTTCTTTGGTTCTCATAGTTAAAGAATATTTTTTTAATTTCTTGTTACAGTAAAATCAGGTGAACTCACGTGAAATGTCAGTTTGGCAGCCAGCAGAGGAGACAGGGAGACCCGAGGGGGAGCAGAACCTGCAGATACTAGACATGCAGCTTCCCCATGACTAAACCCTGAAAGTTTCCCCAATTGGGCGTGGTGCTGACCATGTGATGGGCATGGCCTTCAACAACGATTTCATAGAAACTGGTGGGTTTTGTTTTTCATTTTTATTGAGTTTACTGGGGTGACATTCGTTAAAGTTATATAAGTTGCAGGTGTATTAATCTATGGTACATCATCTGTATATTGCATCATGCATTCACCGCCCAAGGTCAAGTGATGGAAACCCCTCATTCCCCCCCTTTACTCTCCTACTCCCCCCGCCTCCTTTCCCTCTGGCAATCACCGTACTGTTGTTTGTGTCTATGAGAGTTTTTTTCTTTGTCTTCTCACCCAGCCCCCCAAACTCAATAAGATAACAGCTCAGTCTCTTCTCTGTATGAGCCTGCTTCTATTTTGTTTGCTATGTATTTTGTTCATTAGATTACACATATAAGAAATCATGGTACTATTTGTCTTTCTCTGACGGGCTTATTTCCCTTCGCATAGTAGAGACTGGAGTTTTAACAAGCCCACCAGGTGATTCTGGTTCAGCTAAAGAACTAGCCTGGCTCAAAGCTTCAGAAGAAAGAGCTGTCATCAGCTCTGGGGGGAGGAAGGTGTGATTGGGGAGGCAAAGGCCGGTGCCGGGCACGGGCGTAGCGCTACGTACAGCCAATGCGTGACGTTCAACGAGGGCCCTTGGGAGTGTGATGTCATTCACAATAACAAGTATTTATTCCGCTCTGTCATTGCAGCACCAGTGCAAGCCGGACTAACGGTGCCCGTGGTGAGGGGTTACTGATAGTTTGCTGCATCACTTTTAACATGTGTATTATTTGACATAAAATGGCATCGTATGGCTCCACTTTTAGAGGCAGGAAAACAGCAATACCCCAACACAATCCTTTATCCAAGATTACCTA